TCCTTGTGAGACACAGCCATATAATAATGTATCAATATTGTATGGAGAAATTCTGTCCTGGTCATTCATGGGAATTAAAGGGTTAGACAACTTGTAAATTACATGCAACTTTCTCGTCTTGTGTAAACAGTGAAGATTAAACTTGACCTACAATGGCATTCATAAGTACAAGGGGACGCCCTTAAATCCTGCCACGTGTCAGAACTGAACGTCATAAACGCTGTTTTGTAGACAGATACTTTTTCAATTTTATCTAATTGCTATTCATACATTTGTAAAGAGTTTGTAATTAGTTTTATATATATATAGCAGTTAGTTATATGAAAGTGTAAGTCCAGACGTATGACTCTGGGCATGTTTCTTTTGGTACTTTACAACAGTTACTATTCATGAATAAAGAATTTCACATGTATGCTAATGTTGCTAATACAAAATGGAGAAACAGACAAAGTGGAATGAACTATACTGTTGTGTGTGATCTCTTTGTGAGATCAAATGAATGTTATTCTAAGGATAATACACCAAATTCTTATGATTGTATGACAAAGTAGTGTATAGTTTTTATACAATGCAGTAGACATTAGAAAGGAAAGTAGGCCCATAACAAGATAATTCTCTGAATTGCAGGTTATCTCAAAGCCTTCCAAGAAAAAGCAGTCATTAAAGAACGCTGATTGTAAGTAACAATTCTTAAGATTTTTCTTCCCGTGACTTGTCAATTAATTTACACTGATTAACTACTGAAAGTTGATGGATTATATGGTGCTATAAGCTGAGTTGATGTGAATAGAGAGATTCTAAAGCTGGCATTTTGATCGGTTTTAAAACTCTTTTATCAACTCAGTTTACTAAAGCAAATTATCTTGTAATACCCTCCACCAACGCAGCGCCACAGTTGCTTTAGAAACTTCCCCCCTTTATTCATGAGTTCATGGATACTGTGCCATTTTTTTCAGTATGCATCCAATCAGGTTCCACAGTTGCCCTGTTCAACCGCCTAAGATCGCAGACTGTCAGCACACGGTATCTTCATGTCGAAAACGGAACATTTCATGCGAGTAGCCAACAGTGGGGAGCGTTCACCATCCATTTATGTGAGTAATGCCACCTCGCCCTTAGTTAAATTATCTTACTGGTGTCCCTTTAATGAGAGTTACTGCTGTTCGCTGAATTTTACTCTTCCATAGTGTTGCGCTCTTGTTAAGTACAGTAATAGCTCACAGATGGTGTCGAAGTGTGCTAAGAACGAAAAAGTGGCACCCAAGGCGTAGTCGAGTCCTTAGTGCAATTGAATATTATTGGAAAATTTATTACTTGACAAGGGAATTCCGCATTGAATCGCATCATTGAATAAATTCTCGCAGTCTGATCGGTTAACGAAGCGAGGTATTTAGCGTGGAATTGCGACTTGAAAACGAGGCTAATAGAAATTGTTTCGCATCTACGCAAACAAAACAATTTTAAGTAATGCTGTTTCCTTTCTTTTCTCATTTTTATTCAGTTATGCGATTCAAGGAAAATCCATTACTTCACTCGTGAATTCCGCATTAAATTGCACTTGAAAACTGATATTGCACTCATCGCTTCGCGATTCGTATGATATCGCTTTTCGCGTGCAATTTAATCCGGAATTCCCTCGTCAAGCAATGAATTTTCCTCAAAAATTTCATGCGAAAACCGATATCGCTCGAATCGCGAAGCGATGAGTGCGATATTGGTTTTCAAGTACAATTTAACGCGGAATTCACGAGGCAAATGATGAATTTCCTTGAATCGCATGATTGAATAAAAATGCGAAAAAAAAAGAAAACAGCATTACTAATAGTTGTTATGTAGATGTAGATGGGAAGCAATGTTACTTACCCTCTTTTTCGACGAGCAATTCCACGCTAAAACGTCTAATAGGAAATATTTATTTCGGTGTTTTTAGTAAATGATGATGAATCCGAGAGTGAGGAATTTTCTGTCAGAGAAGGGTATGTGCATTATGGCTCGACGGTCAAGCTGGTTTGCTCCGTAACAAAGATGGCTCTTCCCAGACTGGTATGGTGGTTTGTGTGACCATACGTGAACTCACTGTCTCAGTTATAAGCGCAGAAAGCAAAGGCTTGGTATTCATATATTTTCACGAAAATAAAAAACAATTGAAATATTCAAACGAAATGTGAGGCCAAAAATAATAAACTTCTACACATGTTAAGCTTGAATATGAAGTTTTGTGGGAATTTTAGTTTTTATAACCTGAACAAAAACATTGGTGTACTTTTTTACGTGCATTATTATTGTCGTAAAGTCATACTATCAGTGCTTTCAATAAGATTTGAAATAGGTGGGCTACCTCGGTACAACATCCGCCGGAGAGCGACTTGATTGCGACTTAGCGTGGCGACTGCGACTTGAGCGCGGTGAAATATACCCGGCGACTCGCAACAGAATAGCCGCCGGAGCTCCGGCGGGTGCCAGGTCTTATTGAAAGCACTCACTATTCGCTTTGACGGAGGGCTAACGTTCCAAAAGTCAGCTTTAGAAACTCTTTACTGTGGCCAATTTACATAATCAACGCAGTTGGTAAAAGTACCTTGTAGAACTAGAATTGACTCAAGCAACTTTACTCTCTGAAGGTGATAAGAAAAGTCGACAAACAGACGGCTTTACTAGACGCTGATGACCCTGTGTCTCAGCTTCATAAGGTGAGCAATTCAACATTGTTGAGTACTTCAGATTTGTGCGACCTTCAACACTTGAGTGCGCCTACTTTAAGACCAAAATGAAATTCGGCATGCTATTTCTTTGTGGAAGGACGAAACCCAGAAAAACCTTGAGAAAAAGTCGGGTGAGTCCAAAAACCAACAACACACGCACACACAACCCACATGCGTGCATGCTTGGTCGATAAAGATTTTTCTTTTCATAAAGAAAGTTGCACCATAGATTCTGACCTTTGCGAGCACAGAGGAGCAATTCCTAACGAGTAAGACTGGCTCAACTCCTTGTCCCCTCCAGTAGCCAATTACCCCCCGCCCCCGTAGTCAAGGATTCACTTTATCTTGCGCGTGTACAGAAACAAAATTGAACCTTGCCTTCCTTATTAATCACCAGGTCGCCTTTTATATGAAAGAAACCGAGAGAATGTACCTTTGTTTATCCCAAGAAAGAATAATACAGTTTCAGGTGAGTCAGTAGGAACCGACTTGCAACAACTCTCCTTGGTACATTAACGGTGTTTTTGGAAAATAATGATAACTTTGGGAAGTATCCGTACTCTTGATACAGTGCAACCTTTGCTAAGAGAACACACGTGGAAACCTTGTCAGTACTACTAGTATTACTTTCGACACTCATTTGAGAACTGCTCTGATTACATAACACGCTATGTGTCCCTGGGATTCAAATTTAACAGGTCTGATTTTCTTTCCACAGTCTACACCTTGTCCCAAAGAGCAAAACAAGGAGATGATAAATGATGGAGCCTCTTGGACAATAATCAGCACAGGTTATAAAATGGGTAGCTAATAGGCACTCCTTCAGGATGTTTCACCTTTTTTTTGCACTACATAACTATCATGAAATTAGTTTGGGTACTAGCATGATTTTGAATGCAATTTGGTGTAAATAAGCACGAGTAAATTTTTCAAAGACAACAAAATTGCACATCTCCCTTAAACTAAACGTTACAAACTTCAAATCTGTGATAAGTGCTAGAGAGAGAAAAGGAAAAAAAATTGTACCTTTCCACTACCATCCCCGTCACACGATAATTTCCGACAGTGAATTGCTGTTGTAAGCATTACTCTTCTGTTCTTCTCTTTCAGACAAATCCGAGTACAGTTTTTACGAGGGAAATGGTCCCGTGAGGTCTCCAATCACACCCGTCCCGATTGTAAGCAATTTACAGGTAAACTAACCCATTGTAGATCACCCCTTACTTTAATAGATCAACATTCCGGTTTGTTTCCAGCAAAGAAATTTAGTCGAAAGGTTTCAAGTTCGTCTTCTGACGATCTTTACCATTCCCCTTCCCTTTTTTATTTGTTTTCTCACAGCAATGTCTTCAACCTACCAAACGATCGCTTCTAGTATTTTACAGGATTGAAAATCTCTCTGTCGCCAAAAATACTTAAGATTACCGTGACGTAGTCGAGATCTCACTTGGCTTTTTTCACGTTCAACGCATTTCATTGGGGCTGTCACTTTGGGTATAAAAAAATCCATCGCTGATGGGTCAGCAATATAATTTAATTCCAGTAAGGTATGAAACTATAGAGCTTCTCGGTAACGTTCCGGTACCATATCACCAGTGTACGGGGTCCTCAATGAGAGAGCGTCATTTAATGAGCATTGTACATTATACACTTAATGTATGGTCGCGAGGGAAACAGTTAGTTTTGTTTTCCCGAGAGTTCGTCTCGGGTAAACATCAGGACTCGAGGAGAAACAAAAACTAACTAGTTTCTCGAGGGACCATACATCAAGTGCTTTAGTTTATATTTAGACTTTCCCTTAAATAATCATATGGCAAAAACATGCCGTTGTATTCGGCGCGCGGGCAACAACTGCGTAATAGTATAATAAAGCTATTTATCTATCTAAATTGGATGGTAGCGAATGGCTAGTACCCCAAATGACGATGAAATACTGTGGGTGGACTTGTTATGAGTCTGCCTAATAACGTTCGTTTTCCGTACTCAAAATGAAATTTCAGTTACCAGTTTTCTTAATGGTCTTTATACCTAATTTTTCTCAGCTAAATGGCGGTGGAGATGTGGCCATGTTAGAGCTGACAGGAGAGCATTTCACTGCAAATTTAAAAGTTTGGTTTGGAGATGTAGAGGCAGAAACCATGTACAGGTAGGAATAAAACACAGAAAAATATTTAAGTCCTTCAGGTTATTCGTGTCTCAGACCTGACAATATGGCAGTGGGATATTTATCCAGTGGTGCGAAGGCGAACTCGTAGTTAGGGAAGAGACCTAACTGATCGCGGAATAGGCCTTGGTGAAAGTCTGACTTGGTGACAGCAGTGAACTTAAAGCCACGCACTTTAAGGTTCTTACAGATACAGATGTAGATGTTACGAAACATCGCGTTATTTGTAAATAACGTAACTCTTTTGTGGATAGCCTACTGTAAGCTAACATTAACATTACGACAAATTTCCTCTTTTGATGTGTATGGAAACATTACAAGTTTTCCCTCTACAAGTTTAGCTGTCCAGGACTAACCACAGTTTTTGAACAATGAACTTGTCGAGGACGAAATTGGCTAGTTTAGATGAATTAGTGAGGATATGTCAGTTGACTCTTTGAACCTTAAGAATGACTGGCTTATAATTTTTCCATGCAGTATCACCCCTAAATAAGACATTAAGGTCATGAGAACATGGAAATGATCAACAACTACAGAAGCTCTTGATTGCTAAGCAAATTCTCCTTGTCAACACCTTAGGAAATGTGTAGAGAACAGTATGGAGAATATGCATACTGATGTCAAGGTGTAAAAGGTCAAGACCAATCAAACTCCATAAAAACTCCAATGAAACCACAAATCACAAAGTAACCATACACTCGTGGAAAAAAATTTTATTAACAGCTTCTTCCTTACCTATCTGACACGGCATACACTATTTCTTCATGAACACGACTCAAGGTGTAACGTAAATTTATTCATGTATGATACTCCAAATAGCACATAAGGGAAACTGCACTCCAAGAGGTTTTCCTTCAGAAGTGCCTACCCATATCAGGTTTTCCGTGCTAACCTTAAGCCCACTGTAACATGCGAATGGACCGTCCAGTTACTCCATTACCTGTTTCCTCTATTTTGACAGATGCGGTGAAAGTCTGCTATGTGTTGTTCCAGACATCTCGGCCATTCGTGGCGGATGGCGGTTCGTCCGGCAACCCACTGAAGTCGCCGTAAGCCTCGTTCGCTCTGACGGAGTGATCTATCCTACCGGACTTACATTCACCTATACACCAGAACCAGTGGAGAGACCTTCTTCTTCCATTTCAGAAACGGTGTTACGAGCCGATCTCTAGGAACAATGGACGTCATCGGAGGAAGAAGATGGATATCCCTGTTTTATGAAGGGTTCTACTAACGACTGATCCCCCCAAGGAGTCAAAGAGCAAATCGAGAAGAGCAATGCAACCTACGCCTATTCCTCCTGCTCGTCCATTTCGAAATTGCGTTTTAAGGACGTTCAGCGTCGTTGTATTTAACGGCACAGATACGCAAGCTATCGTACACGAGTCACTCACGGACATAATTTTTATCCCTATGAATAGGACCGTTGTAAATAAGGCCTTGAGTCAGCAGTGAAAGTACATTGTAGGCACGGAGAATTTTGCTGTATTGCAAAGTAAATCGTATCGTATCCAAGCTATCTTTATGTAGTTTTTTAGCTCGAGTCTTGCCAAAACTATTCCGAGCTCAAGAAAAAATTGTGCTCTGTACATTTTTTTCCCTTTAAAACGTCCATAATTTATTTTTGGATTTAAAGTCTGGGTCAGTCAAGTTCTTGTTACGCATTTCATCGAAAAAAGAGTGACTGTCAGTGATTAGCACTGCGTTTTTGCTCTTCATATTTCATCCAATGTAAACTTCGTTCAAATTTGTTGCGTTACTTGACTAATGGAATATTAACCGCTCAGGGTATATATCAACAAGCAGAGAAATCTATAGCTAATAAAAATGTTTAAATTTGAATCCAATTGTTTTTGAGGTTCATTTCCATTGCTTGTGCTTATTTCTGCTATGCCACCACCCAATTTTTACGTAATGGTCGGAGGAGTCCTTGTCAAATCCAGAATTTCAAACTAAAATGCAGCCTAAGGGAGATCGAGCGGAGGCAATGGCTAGTAATCACTCGTCACGAGACCGTGAATCTCAATTTTAATTAATTTATTGTTAAACATTTCACTACGGAAAAAGTTTCGTTTTTACTACTCTCATTTCACTTAAGGTAGTCCGATAGATAGAAAGAAGGGGTAGTTGCAAGGCTGCAAAAACAAGTTGGACTTTTTCCTTGACCCTAAGGTTCAAGCAGGTCAACGACCTTTATCGGTCACGAAGTTGATGCTCATCACCATTATAACCTGCTTTCTAAAAGAGAGAATTCGCAATGTAGCGATTTCTTAACGAAATCATTTTTAAACATCCCGGTAACAGAAGATCATCAGATCAAACCCGATTTTCGCCCAGGGACTCCGGTCTCTTTTTGATATCATTCCGTTCAGAAAGAAAGATCGTTTCACCCAAAGACTATACGCCTTCAAAGGTTGAATAAACTTTTAATTGGCTTGGTGGTGGCCATGTAATGTTAACTTCTGGTTGTGGTGCAACCAAACTACGTGGAATTTGCGTACGATTCTATTCTACTTGAACTTTACTGCAGCAGATTGTTGATTGAATCGATGCAAAGCGAGACAAAGAGTTTACTTTCATGAGTATGGGAGCGATCTTCGCCGTAATGAACATTGCAGCAGTGAAAATAGGGCCTGGAAAAAAATTTAGGCCTGTACAGGATTCGAACGCATGACCTCTGCGATGCCGGTGCAGTCCTCTACCAACTGAGCTAACAAGCCATTATGTTAGTTCGTAATAAACCCGTGAGGTGATGAGTCAACTGCTCAAGTAGCGTTCATTACATCTAAGATCATTTCTTTAACCGCAGTTCACATATATGATATTCACAAAGTTTATTTTCGGTTAAAGAAAACGATCTGACTTGCCTACATGCCCAACAGAGGAGTAGACCTTCCAGATCTGTGGATAGCTGTTGTCAGTGTCACTGGTATAATGCTCAGCAGTCCAGCGCACTGACCATTAGGGTGAGAATCTCAGATGGTAATGATGTATCTATAAATTTGAGCACACGCTAAAGCATTTAAAACATAACCAAACGCAAACACATTTGAAAAATAAAAAAAATAAGCTTGATTCATCTCAAGTATAAAAATTCAATTTGTGCCTCTACAGTTCAAAACCGTCGACTAGCTATAGAAGCATTATTCGACTCCTCTTACTTATTTGAACCGCGATGCTTTATTTAATGATATTCCATGCGGGTCTGGCTTTTCACCATTTTAGCGAACGTTCCACCATTTCTCATCAACACCTCGGGTTTATCAAACTCCACCATGTGTCCGCCATCAAGAACGAGCACCTTGTCATAGTCCATGATGGTATTCAAACGATGAGCAATGGTCAGCACTGTGGAGTCTTTAAACTTGTGACGAATCACTTCCTGGATCAGATGGTCAGTCTTGAAATCCACATTAGCAGTGGCTTCATCCATGACGATAATTTTGCTCTTTTGTACCAGAGCACGAGCCAAACAGACAAGTTGCCTTTCACCAACGCTGAGATTTGTCCCAGATTCTTTAAGTTTGAAATCAAGCTGCTTTGGAAGATCTTCCACAAGGGTCCTTAGTTGTACGGCTTCTAGGGCTGACCATAGTTCTTGATCGGTATGTTTTGAAAATGGGTCCATGTTCCTTCTTAATGAGCCTCCAAATAGGACAGGATCTTGTGTTATAACAGCCATAGATCTGCGGGCCTGCTGGAGGTTGATTGATGTTATGTCAACTCCATCGATCAGTACCTGTAGAGAGGGATATGTTGCTTCTAGGAGACAATCTTCGACAAAATTACTAAAAATTATACATTTCTCCCTTTCCAACGTAGTTTGTCTATTTGTTTGTTTTGTTTTTGTTTTTGTCTGGAAAGGACGTAGTACTTAGAACGTGAACCGGCACAGCTCTGGGGAGGACGTCGAGAGGGGAGCTGGAATTAGAAAGTAAATATGTTCACGAAGAGTTTTAAAGTAGACTTAGCAGATTTGATTTTAATTTTTTTCAAATCACTATACATCAAAGTACACGTTGATTAAAAAAACCCCACGTTCACGGCCTCTAGCAGTTGACTTACCTTTCCTAAGGGATCTGGCATACGGAACAAAGCTGAAACCAAGGAAGACTTTCCAGCACCTGTGCGGCCCACAACTCCGACCTTTTCCTTATTAGAGACACGAACGTTTATACCTCTTAAGATTTGAGGTCCACCTTGAAAGTAGGCCAAAGAGACATTTTCGATGACAAAGCTTCCTTCGCTAGGCCAGGACTCTGAAGTATAGTTTTCAGTACTGTAACCAGGCTCAGAATCTAACTCAGAGTACGCCATTGCACGTTCAACAGAGGTCATCAAGTTTTCGACTTCTGTGGCCATTCGCACACCATATTGCGTCCGGTCCAGAGTTTCCAATGCATACGTCAAAGCGAGTCCAGCAAAGGCTAAGCAGTGTTAAGAGACACATGGCTGCATGCATGAGTAACTTGGTCTTCACTGAAAGGGCAAAACTATGTGGGAAAATCTAAGATAGATATATAGAAACTACAGTTGCAAACAGGGTAATTTTCTTTTAAACAAGAACACGAACTGCACTCTCCCGGCCATAAAGCTTCTAAACGGTGTTAGGAGAATTTCCAGTAGAATTGAGCTCGTTCCCGAAACAACAATCACAAAGGTTTTCACACACTCACCTGGATTCTCAGAAATCAAAATGGCAGCCACTGCAACAGTCATAGCAAATACACTGGACAACAGATCGAGGCGAATTCCCAACCACCGATTACACGACACCACCATAACAAAAGCTTGCGTATTCTCATCCTGATACCTAGAAGGCAAAACTGGAATTAGTCCATATACTACTTAACTCAGTGGGTCACGCATCCTCATTGGCAACCCATCAAAGATCCTCAAATTCCCTGTTGTTTAGAGACCATTCCTTGTCTACAAAGGAGACGGTAATGTTTTCCAGAATCTAATGATTTTGACCTTCTTATTCGGCTGGTAATCAAGATGTTTAGCAGAAGCAAACTTCGCCTAACGAGAACCTATCATCTTTTTTCATATACTCATGACATGATAGATTATTTCCCACTACATTCTGATAGAACTGCGCTGATCGAGGTTGTGTTCAAACACCCATGAATATAGTTTTCCAAAAAATAAGAAAACAAAACAAGATAAATAGCTTATTTCTACTAACCTTTGAAGCCTCTCCAAGAAGGCTTTGTTCTTATTTGAGATATGAACTATCTCCAGTCCATGGAACGTTTCCGTAATGTGTGAATACACTGGGCTACATTTGATGGCCTCGATTCTCTTCAACTCTCTCGAAGACGCTAAATAATAACGTGCATAATAGACGAATATGCTAAAGATTGCAAGAAGAGCTAACACGAGCCAGTAATTTGTTGCAGCAGGAACTAAAAAGGCTAAGAGCGAGGAAAGACACACTGTAAGAGATTCTAGAAACCGTAATGGTAATACGTCATCCATGGTGCCGACATCCTTTGAAAAGCGATTAAGGATACGACCCGCAGGGTTTGTGTCATAAAAAAACACAGGAGCTTTGACGAGCGCCATGGCCATTTTGTTGTGAAGATTTTCTGCTGCTCTCAGAAGGAGAAAATAAAAGGAAAAACACGATACCGTCGTGATTACCAAGGAAACTGCCACCAAACTGGCGTGAATTGCTTGAGTGTACAGTGCTTTTTGCTGGGTAGGCGACATTTCTGACACTTTGGCCAACCACCAGTTTGGAGCCAGGAGACAAACTGTAAAAAAAATGGAAGCCTGTTAATAGCTTGAAAGTTCATCTACCTTTTGCCCATAAAGTAAAGAGATAACATCAATCAAAATCGGCATTGACAGACCCTTTAAATAGAGGTGGAAGGTGTAAACAAAGGGTCATTCATTTAACAAGGAAAATCATTATAACAAGTATGCCACAAAAGCGTGGAAATTCCGTATAAAAACGTTTGTGAGGTAGTCGTTCTAGCGACGATCGGTGTTATCGAACAAGGAGCGTTACCTTGCGCAAATATAAGAACAACTGCTACAAGCATTATCAAAGGCACTGACAGTCCTTCCCTAAAATACTCCCAATACAGTCGCCAGGTCACAGTGCCAGCTCTCTTTTTTTCTTCCCCTTCCTTTAGGTCAAGAGCTTGGTTGCCATGTACGCGTTGAAGATCAAATATGTTTGCTGGAGACTTGCTCTGAGAACTCGGGTCACATTCGAGTTTTACGTCTGCAACGCTGCTTGTGGAATTCAGGTCATCCTCTTGCGGTTGCATTTCACAACGCTCCACGTTGGAAACCAACGAACCTGTTTGATTTCCGTTTTTTCCGTCTCGCTCGACACCACAAGACTTCAATATCCACTCTGACCTTTCCTCAAAATGACCAGACAAATTCAGATTATCCGAAAGTAGCCCCTTTTCTTTGAGGTCCATGTACGTGCCCTGATGATTAATTGAACCGTTCTTCATCACAACAATGCAGTCGACGTCTTTTAGATATTGCAGCTGATGAGTGACCAGGATTCGAATACAGCCCGATAGATGACCTACTATGCAGCTCTTGGAGAGTTTTCTTCCTACTTCAGTGTCAAGTGCACTAAGAGGATCATCAAGCAAATAAATATCAGCATCTGAATACACTGCACGAGCTAAACCAACTCGAGCTTTTTGCCCTCCACTAAGGGACACTCCACGTTGTCCAATTTCCGTGAGATCTCCTTTGGCGAAGTCAGATAAGTCTTTGGACAAACCACAAACGTCAACAACATACAGAAACTTCTCTTCGTCAAATGGTAACCCAAACAAAATGTTCTCTCTCACAGACCCAGAAAATATCCAAGATAATTGAGGGACATATGCAACTTTCCCATGATATGATATGGTGCCTTCACGAAGAGGTAATTCCCCCAAAATTGCTGATAACACCGAGGACTTTCCACTCCCCACCGGACCAGTAATTGCCAACAATTCGCCAGCACGCAAATTAAGTGTTACATCATACAGTGTTATGGTCTTGTTGGAACAGTCGTGGTCCCATGAACAGTACGCGTTAGATATCGAGAGAAACGGCTCTTCTGAACGTAAGTCATTGTTAGTATTGTCTGGTCCCGTGCTTATTGAGCTACCTGCAAATTCTGGAGAATTGTCCTTGGAAAAGTCATCTCTTTCATTACAGTTTGTCGATAGACTGTCCCTTTCTATTTTTTCTACAACTTTGGAATAGTTATCGTGGATATTTAACAGTCCTGTGCGAGGCTGAGTTTCGTTATGGAATCTTTTACCCATTTCAAAGTCTGGCGGCTTTTCTCCGAGGAATGTTTGTATTCTATCAAGGGCTACTTTAGCCTCTGCGACAATATATACAGAGAGACTCAAGCTGTTGCAGAACGCAAACTTGATCGTTACTAATCCAAGGAGTAGCGTGAATATTGTAAAAGATGACAAAAAGGTTCCTTTTAAAATCAGCGCTGTTACTGAAATCAAAGCTGCAATTGGAAGCGTCGTAAAGAAGAGAACAAGAAGCAAGGAAACAATGAGGCCCTTCTTTCGGATAACTGCCGTCTCCTTCCTTCAAACATAAATGGATACAGAAAAACATAAGTAAAAGGATATCTACGTATTATCCAATTCATCCAGTAGCGAGAACCCAGTCAGAACCCAATCAAAACAAAGACCAACAATGTACACCAATACGTGGCATAACGAAAATAAATATCATCGAAAGGAGAAAGAGATCCTTCCTTGCTCTTTTATTGTAATGAAACATCGATAAAAGTCCCCCACCTTTCGCGATTATCTAATCTTTTTGAAATAAACAAACATCTTTGCAAATGATATTCTTGCACGGATTAAAATTCATAAACCGCAGAACTAGTAAAACCAACTTTACCTCTTCCATACCTAGGAAGTGAAGAACATTAATGAGTTCTGTTGGTCTCTACGGCCAAATAAAAAATCAGAAAAAATTAATTACTTGTGGACTTCACGAACAACATCTACAAAATTCCATTCCCAAGCGAACATCTTGACAGCTCGTATTCCAGCGATGATTTCATTCATCACCATAAGCCGTTCATCTGTAAAAGCAGCTGCTTTCTTTCTAAGGTCGGCAGCTTTTCTTGCCAGCAAAATTTGGAATGGCACTAAAACGAAAAATACTGCAGCTCCAATCAAAGCCTCCCAGCCAATGAAATACCATAGGATCCCCAAGCTTATTGATAGTTCCATCGGCGCGGCGAACACCATGCCCAGCTGGTTTAAGGACCTCTCTATTTTTTGAACGTCATTCGAGACCAGGGTAATTGTGTTCCCAGAACACGTAGCCTCCAGGCTGTAACGATTTAGCGAAAGCATCTAATTTTTGACAGAACAGCATATAACCATAAGTTAAAAAACTGATAGTTTTTGACAACAATTTTGAAACAAAATAAACATTTTGGCTCTTCTTGAAAAGCACACAAACATACAAACAATGACGGATAAGGAAAAATAAGTGATAAACAATATATTTCAAGGCCAGCCATTTACAGTCCACTAAATATCGGCTGTCTTTACACTCCCTACTCACTGCTATCCTGCCAAACTAATATTTTATGGTTACTGACAAACTAACGGAGAGGGAAAGGGAAAGAAAACCTAAGAATGGATTGTCATAGAAACGTACTTTCTTATAAACGAGCCCTATCAATGCCACCTTTAGCCTCAGTCCCCAAAGTTCAGTCAGGTAATCGTAATGCTGCGTCGAGGTTGCTTTTGTCATGCTTACTATCGCCAATAGGGCAACATAGAAGCACGCCACCTTAATGTCCACATTTGGTCCATCATTTAACGTCTTTAACAAAAGCCAAAGGCATACAGGTAAAAAGGAGAAACTCAAAGCCCATAGAGCTCGTAAAAGTATCATCTTGAGAGCAGATTCCCATGGAATTATTCTGGACAATGCTTTCCATAACTGTGGTTTCTTGTTTGCCGATTGACTGCGCTTTGATTCATCGTGCCAATAGTTTTCAGCCTTTTTCACGAGCAACTCGGCTTTGTAATCCTCAAGGAGTGGAGGTAAATCCTCATCAGTCAGCGGTCGCTTCCGCCCCAGACTCGTCAAGCCATTCATCCACCAAAAGAAAATCACTGACGCAACACCTGCACCTTCTCTGGGGTTAATGATCTCGGACCTCTGCGACATGACCCTTAGATAATTTACCGCCTTCTTCTTGTCACAGATTGGTGAACCAACGTGTCTAAAAGAAGAAAAATGCATGCACTGCGTGAAGTGAGCAGCAAAAATTGCCTAACAAATAAATCCAGTGAATTTGAATAAATGAAAATCATATATGCGTACTGTGGTTTCATAAAATACATGAAAGCGATCCTCGCAGTAATGAACCCTACTTATGTAGTAGTGGAAACCTGAAAAATAATTAGGCCCTTACGGAAATTGAACCCATGACCTCTGCGATACCGGTGCAATGACCGAAGTGATAATGAATTTGAATATATGAAAATTATATGTGTGTATTGCGGTTTCATGAAATGCATGAAAGCGATCCTCGCAGTTTTATCAGACACTGTGACCAGTTGAGTTCCCTTCAGACGCTCATCCAGTCCAGTGCTTAACCGTGAGCAGAATTCTTCAGTACTGCTTACTGAAATGTAAGGAAAAGATAAAAAGGAAAAGATAAAACTTCATCTACACTGCGCGCTACCAACAACGAGCCGTGATGTTGTCTACAACAACGCGTCTTACCAGCTCATACAGTTTTTCCTTTGTGCACAATCGGGTGAGTTTCATCTTGGCCAGTTTTCTTTGGTTATACAATACACTTTTAGCAATTATTTATACTTCAAACCACAGTCAGATATGTCGTGGAAAGAGCCTTGGGCAGAGTTTGGGCGCATTTTATACAGGCGCTGTCATGACGAATAATAGCCAGTCATGTCAGGACATGTAACAGGTGCCTCAACTTTGAAACATTTTACAGAGAGAATGAAGAATTTGAGAGGGATTCTTGTCGAGATAATTTTGAGGTTTAACCAAAATGCATCCTTTTTCCCTCGCTTTGAGTTTTCGCTTAAATAAACAAATAAAAATTTCACAATAGTTAAAGGTGATCAAAAGTAAATTCGTGAAATATGGAAATCCTTTCATGCGCGTTTTGTCAAAATTCCGATCATTTCTTAGCTTAAAGGCTAGCTCAGAAATCATTAACAGCAAAAGCTCAGCGGAACAGGAAATTATCAGAATTTTGACTAAACCCACGTGAAATTGTCTGCAATTGAACTTTCTGACCTGTCCCAGTTTAAGTAAGAGATAAATACCAAAAACGGAGGTATTAATCATTATTAAAAACTAGATCATTGGATAATGCAATTCAAGACTTTTTATTGGCTTAGCCATTATGGTATATCATCCAATATACCATAATCTATAAACATGGCTAGCGTATGTGTCAGCTTAAAATTAAAAGGGAGCTAAAACTTTAATAAAATTTAATAATTTAATTTAACGTTTTTAATAAAAAAATTATTCCACTCGCGGTTGTTGGATATGAGATGATTATAGCCAACTCGGAGCTAGGCGCCTCGTTGGCTATCTATCATCTCATATCCAACGCGCGCTCATAGAATAATTGTTAAATATACAACCCGAGGGCCGTAGGGCCGAGGGATGTATATGAATTAATACCGACGTTCGAGTATTTATCTGACTTATTTGATGTTAATATTATTCATGATGGATCTTCATATAACGATCCTTTCTTCAAGGGACCGAACACCGGCTAATTTAGTACAGTCCCACCTTCGTTGGATCAAAGCAGATACAATGAAAGCAACCTGATGCGTGCGTTTCTCACAGGACTGTGAAAGTTGTTGCGAATTCCTCCGTGACAAGCGCTGGACTTTTTTGTACTTTGATATTTTGGCGAGTCCACAAGGGACTTAGCACTGCATTTTTTTTTGTTTTTGTTTGTGTTCTATTGTTTGATATTTTGCTTTTGTTCTTGTTCACTAGTTTTTCAGTAAATGTGTACGAATGTTTTCCAACGACTCATTTCTCTGTTTTTGTGCTGTCATTATGGACGGCATGTATAGCGACGAGGAGCTTTTTCTTACTCAAAATAGTTTTTCGGGCGAAATATTACAACACAATTTTGGTATTGATTCTATTTTAGACGGCCTAGTGGCTAGTGAGACGGCCTAGTAGCTAGTGATGAGCCTGCTCCACGAAATTCGGCTGTGGAAGAATTAAAGCAAGTAGTGACCGAGGAAAGCATCAAGGATGGACGGACGGACCCATCGAATTGCCCAGTAGAAGTAAAGAAGATTTTGATCGTTGACCATGCAGAACTTGAGAAGGGGAAGGAATCTCGAATACCGCCAAATACAAGAATAAATACATCGTGGGCAGTTCGTACTTGGTCTAAATGGGGGTACTGGAGCGAAACAGAATGATCCCTGAATCGAAGGATTTATACAGATAAATCCCTCATGCATTTACTATCAAATTCGATTCATTAGTCCCGCTCTTCCCTGCTACATTATCAAGCCCTCCCCAGACTTTCAGTTTGTTAATATTCAACAGGGTCGTAAGTTAAACAAAGGTTATTGAATAACAAAAGAAAAGGTGTGAGGGACTCTTCATATGAGCCCGGTTGACCGGGCCGGCGCCTTACCTCTAAATCCTTTGTAAAATTTTCGATGTGTTCACAGGTAAGGCGAGATCTCGGAGACCGGGCCAGCCCGGTCAACCGGGCTCATATCAAGAGGCCCTAAATCATGAAATAATTACCCTTACAAGACTAAGCCTCACCGCGTGAGTGCACAGTCATGCGAGATTCTGCGCCAACTTACTCCAAAAGACAAGAAGAATTTCTGTAGGAATCTTGCGAGTCCTTTGGAATGAATACATTTGGATCGTTCATGATTAAAATGACAATTAAAATCAGGGCAGTATTCTAGCTTAGTGAACTAAGAACACGATATCTTCTTGCGCTGTTCAATATCAACCATATAATCGATGATGTACTAGAAAATAACAATAACAATAATTCTGCGCGTATCGCATATTTAGCAGCTCACACGTCTTTCAGAGAAAGAAATAACGTTCAGTGGAATCGAATGACATTTTCTTGAAGTGCAGTGACTCGACAAAGACTCCTTTCGTCGTTGGCGTGGGCGAAGAATGATTCAGCGTAATTTACTCACTTGTAGTGTGCCGTTGTTATTGATGATGGTGGACTCAACGGTTACAAACGAAGGTAGAGGAAGGCAATACCAAGGCACTTAAAGTAAAAATTTGCAATACTTTGGATAAGGCTATAAACAAACTTGCAGAGAATAACTTACTGATTTTTTTCTGCCTTCTGTCAGCATAACAGTATGATAGCAGTAACGATGATGATTTGACCATCCAAACGTTTCTTGCT